GCCAAGGACACATGACATTGGTTGAGGACGAGAATCAGAAGTCAGAGCACTACGTACTACCACATCAGGCGGTTGTACGCCCAGATAGCGTAACGACGAAACTGCGGGTGGTATTTGACGCCTCCGCAAAGACGACAGCGAATACGTCGTTGAACGACAAGCTTATCGCAGGACCGAATCTGCAAGGGAATTTGATCAGCATAATACTTCGGTTCAGAACATACGAGCACGTTGTGACAGCGGACATAGCGTCCATGTTCAGACAAATTCTGGTTGCCGAAGAAGACCGATCGTTACAGCAAATACTTTGGCGAAGTAATCCCGAGGAACCCGTGAGGAGATATCAGTTGAATACCGTAACATACGGTACAAGCTGTGCGCCCTATCTGGCAATAAGGTGTCTAAGACAACTAGCTGAAGACGACGGAGGTGATCTACCACAAGCAGCGCACGCGATCATCGAAGATTGCTACATGGATGATGTCCTCAGTGGAGCAAGAACAGTGGAAGAGGCGATAGAGTTACAAAAACAGCTTTCTCAATTGCTGAAGCGAGGTCAATTCCATCTACGTAAGTGGCGTGCCAGCAGCTCAAGTATTCTGGAACATCTTGCAGAGCAATGCAAGACCGACGAATTGTTAATCCTAGATAAAGAGGGAGCTCTAAAGACATTAGGTCTTTTGTGGAACGCTAAAGCAGACTGTCTGCAATACCAGGTGCATACGGAGGAGAATCAGATTGTGACGAAGCGGCTTGTTTTATCCAAGATAGCGCAAGTGTTCGACCCGTTGGGCCTCATCGCGCCGTTACTGGTCAGCGGGAAGATAATAATGCAACGTCTATGGTTGTACGATCTCGATTGGGATCAGGAGATTCCAGCGGAACTCGCACCTGCCTGGGAAGACTACAATTTGGCTTTGAAGAAGGTTAATTACCTACAGATACCGCGGAACGTGATTCCCCGGAATGCTTCAGATAAATTTGACATCTTCGGATTCGGCGATGCGTCGGAGAAGGCTTACGGTGCGTGTTTGTACGCCGTGAGTTCAGATGGAAATGGAGTCGTTAGCTCGCGTCTAATATGCGCAAAAACCAAAGTGGCGCCACTCAAAACTATATCGGTGCCGCGATTGGAACTCGAAGCAGCGCTACTCCTTGCAAAACTATATGCTCTAGCTAGGGAAGCATATGGCCAAAGAATCAACAGCGTTAAA